GGCTAGATCAGGCATGATCACAGCCGTAACAAGTACAAGTAAGTACAAGAAGTCCAATGTTCTTACCACTTGGCTACTGGCTCGCTGTTTTGTCGCTGCTTGATCGGGAATAGAGCGTAGCTGGTAAGCGTACACCGATCAGTTACAGGACACACCTTTCCCGCTTATTGCAAAGGCGTTACAACATATTCCCAGACGCGTGTTTGGCGGGTGTGTTTGCTGCACCGAGGTGTCCTGCCCCTCAGTGGTTTTGGTAGTGTCCTCTAGGCGGTTTCTGATATACAAACTGCGGATAGTAATTAGTTGTCGGCAATGACCAGGAAGACCAGAATAGCCATTTCAGGCTCATTAGCTAGGATCAGCCATCCATATCCACACCAACATGATAGATCTTTCAATGCTCACAACTGCAAACGCTTGCTCGGCAGTCAAGCAGTCTAACCATGGAGCGAGAGGTGCGTTCTCTTTCCGGTTCAGCTCGGGAATATTGACATTCGTTGAAAGACGATCACCGATCGCAAACAGAACTCACTAATCTCGCTTTACATTGGCGCTTACTCGCGAGCCCCGCCAGCAGCTTCTCAATGCCTAGCACATTAAAGACAGAAAGATATTGCAAACAAAAACAAGGGATAAAGTAGCGAGCATATGTTTGCTAGGAAGGCGTCTGAGTCGAGCTGTATCAAGCACCCTCCCAGCAGCTAACGCCTATATACTGTTCTCGACCACTCCAATCCTTTACGGAGAGAGCAAGGACGAGCTGCTGGCTGGACCATCTCTACACACCTCTATTCATTTACTTGCTCCTGTGGGGCAGAACATATTGGTTACAGGAGCCGGCGTTCGTCCAAAAGATTAGGAGAAAATATTACTGCATACATATACAGGTCCTGTGCTCGCAAAAGAACATTGTAAGGGCGCAGCAGTTACCACGGTCGAAAGTTGCCAATTTCACCGCCCTCAGCTAATTATCTATCCTGGGGGCCAACAGCCCTTGACGCTGACCTGTTGACCTCAAACCTACCACCCCCGCCCCCCACCGACCCTACCAATCGCACTACTTTTTTCACACAAACGTATAATTTATTTAGTTAATTATTATGCAAGTAGACAGGTCCAAAGGGGATTTATAGGAAGCAAATAACTGCCCGCCAAATTATCTTTGAACTTTCAGTAGCAATTTTCGCAAATTTAAAATTTAGGAAACTGGACTGACAGTTATTGACTATCTATTTACCCTACCGACTGGATGCCTTTCGTTCTTGAAGTCATAAATGCAAAAAAATTATATTTGTGCATGATTCTTTCGCCATATTCACCTTTGTATATAAATAACCTTTACTGGCATGAACTCCTCTCAATGGCATTATTTAGTTATTGTGCTGCAACCGGAGGCAAGCACGTACGATCCGCGGACTGCCCGACCAACACTCAAAGTTTGTTCTGGTCCCCTTTGCTATGTAACAAATCTGCGCACGAGGATACTTGATAGGCAGGGCACCACAGTCCTACGAGACGGCCTCTCCACCAAGATCGATCTGTCTAACCTCCACTGTCGAGCTTCCGTCATGCTCAGCACCAGAACAGACCTCGGGGACTCGCGTGTAGACAGGACGATAGATCTTAAACCGATGCAAACATATGAGTGCAGTGAGGAGCCACGCTATTCACCCCCAAAACCCT